GGGGGGGTTATATTTGTTTTGAATAGCTGTCAAGGCTTCTTTGATAGGCACTTGGGTGAAGAGGGATATGACATCGAAGCTCACTAGTAGGTCGCTGGGCTGTAAGTTTTGTTTCTTTATGATCTCTATAAGCTCAAAGCACGAAGCTGAAAACACCAGCCTGAAGATGACGAATGGGACTTCGTCGAAATGTCGCCAAGACACTTCCAATTTTACGCGGGAGCAAACCCGAACAACCAAAGACCTACATATATATATATATATATATATATATATATATATATATGTGTGTGTGTGTGTGTGTGTGTGTGTGTGTGTGTGTGTGTGTGTGTGTAGGTCTTTGGTTATTCGGGTTTTCTCCCACGTAAAATACCCAAACCAAAACCAGGTAACTTCAAAGTAAACAGTTTAATAATCAGGGGTTGAAAAATATTCTTTTGCAAACAATAAGATTCAGTTTTATCTTTATTAGATTAGAGACAGCAACCCCTCTCATATAACAGAGCAACACTGTTCCAAGTTTTTTGGCTGCTGGAACATAAGATCCTCATTGTCTGTTCTATATGCTAAAGACAGCTGAATTTACACTCAATACTACTGATAAGGTAGCAGCCATCCCTCCTTTCCATTTTCGATAGTCTAGTAATGACCATGTATAAATCCATTTTATACTCCAACAGGAATGTCACAGCAGCTGGTATCTGAACCAATCTACCTAATGGCAGTCCTAGCATTAGCTAGGGATGGCAGAGAAGATAATATAGGAAAGGGGGGAATTTCACTTTTTAAAATTTACATAGAATCATCGGGCTGGAAGGAAGTTGCGGAGGGGGGTGTCTTCTGGTCCAACCCCATCCCCAAGGCAGGAATCCTTATATCATCCAAGAAAAATAGATGTCCAATCTTTTCTTGAAAACCTCCAGGGATGCAGTACCCACTACTTTGGGAGGCAAGCTGCTCCCTTTTTGTTCTTTGCCAAATTTCAGTGGAAGTGGTACCTCCTTTATTACCTGTTATATTTTCCCATTAGGACTGCTGCTTTTATGCAATTCACAATAACAGAAGTAGTAAAAAAACAGTGTTGTGCTCTCATATTATCTCTTCCCACTCTTTAAAATAGGCCTTTGTTTCTAGTACTGTGTGGATAGAAACTAGCCATTGTTTCATATATATGACAAGTTTTTCCCAATCTTATTTTTCAGAGTATGCTCTTTAAAAACATAGAATCTTGTTATTAACTCAAAACTTTATTCAAAAATACATTTAATGCATTTATTCTGTTTCTAAAATAGCAGTTTGTCCTGTATTTCTTTTTAAAAACAAAATAACATTTCCACTATCAGTTTGGAAATGTGATAAAACACTGATGGAGAAGTTAAATTTTCCTCACTGTACAATCCTATCTAATATCCCACCGATCCAACATCCTTATAAATTTTGAGGAGGAAAACACCATATCCCTGTATTAATTAGAAAAACCAAATGGGTAAGGCAATATTGTTATAATTACAATTTTGCAATAAGCAACAGCAAAGGAAGACACTTTAATAACATCACAAGACAGATTGTGAATTACTGGAGACGGTTTCTTATGAGGCAAGTAACATGTACTGCAAATTGCATCAGCCTATTTAAAGTCAGTTTTTTTTCACAATTTGTGGTGAGAAGCGCTATGATGAATCTACTAAATTATAGTTTTATTGTTGTTTTTCATTCTATTCAACACTATCCATTTTTGTTTTTATTGTAGCGTGTGCCTTATAAAATGTTTTCCACCAAACCAACACTCTTAACAGGAAATAGTTCAGCGATAGGAAGTACATTTCTGCATGAAGAGCTGTTCATCTAACTTCTTTCATAACTCTGCATTTCATTATGACTTCATACCTTATGAAATCCTGCAGGAAAAAATACAGCTGAATAAATTAATTAAATCCACTTCCCCTGATCTAAGGGGGAGAACTAACAAACTATGATTGTGAAATGCTACTTTTCTGAATCCTGGTGCCCAACAATATTTGCACTCTCTAAAAAATAAAGCAAAGCAACCCATGTGATGTGTTTAATTTCATCTTAAGTTTGTCTCTCTCTTTTTCTCCCTGGAAATCAACAAATTCTGCCACTACCACCTAATGGATAACAAGTACAGCCCCAGGCAATGCAAAGTATTTATTTGGGTACATCTCATCCATATTTGTGGTGGTATATGTTTGATTAAATAAGCTCCCTTTATTTAATCCTGCCTGAATCTTTGTGTTTGTTTTGCTTCTCCAGCAATTCAAAGAGATTTTAATTCAATAATCCTGCTCTATTTCAGTCTCATATTCAGGAGGCCTATTGGCAGGACCCAGCTTATTAGTACAGTTATACATTTAAAATGTTCCTACTTACCCCAGCCTTTTTTCTAATTGTGTGGAGTTAAACCTCTCAAAATTCTCAACAGTGGCCTTGCAGGCTGGGGAATTCTGGACAATCTCCAGAATTTTGGGAGTTTAAATTCCACAGAATTGGAAAAATCCTGGTTCATTCATCTGGAAGATTAACCAGCTAGAGATTCTGCAGGTACAACTAAGCCCTCCTGGCTAAACATGCTTCCTCCAATTGAAAAAGGCTACAGAATTTAAACTACTTCCAAAGGAATTTAATATATTAACTATTTAAAGGTATTAAAATGCTTTCTAATGGTTACTTCTATTTAATAGTGTCAAAATTCCTACCTAACCATTATTTAACTATGTAGTACATCATTTGAATTCCATATGTGAACCTATAGAATAGGTATTCCTTTAATAGTTCAACAAATGCTTGAAGAGGTTTGTGAGACCACCTAAATAACAGTGCCCACCATTAATATCAAGTGCTATGTCCCTGATGAGTATCCATTAGATGAGTATAATTGTCCAGGTGTATGCATGTAGTGCTTCTGTCCTCCTAAAATATATCTAGATTCCATTCCACATATATACATCTAATAGACATTTGTAAGAGGAATTGAAGGTGACAAAAGTTCAGATAGGGACAAAATTAAAGGGCCTCTCTCTGTTTTCCAGAAACATAAAGAAGGAAGGAAATTCATGTCTAAGAACAACTGATTCAGCCAAATATTTCTAAAACAAAATATATCTGAAAAAAATATGTGGACATTCACATATGAGACTTCAACTCAATTGACTCTGAATATAATAGCCTAATTGTCAATGATGAAATTTTGGCAGCTACATGCCTCTGTGTTTCAACTTGTCTTTAGATTAAGGGGGGAGGTGTTATTTTCAAGTGGGTTAGATGAGGAAAGGGAACTTCTATGATTCTGCTGAAGACTGTGAGAGCCTGAAGCCTTTTCAAGGACACCAGAACAGATGTGGATTTGAAGCAGATGGTTGCCATAACAAAATGAACTTGTTTACATGGACTATGTAAGACATTAGGGGTTTGGCTGGGAAAATTATTGTTTAAGTCTATGAATTAGTGTTGGAACCTCAGAGTTAGTTTTGCTTTGACATAACCATGCAGTGTATTCAATAAATAGTAAGATTTTCAGAGATGGAATGAACCTGGAGTTTTATTTGGATTCTCAAGTTGGATGTTGACACTAATGCTCATTCATATTACAACCTTCTCTTTTACCCTTTTTCTGCACCCAATTCCCACCTCGTATACCAGAATGATAGTATAATCAAATCAGAATTATTGTTACTTCAAAAATCTTCTTGCCTAGCCTTCAGGTAATGAAGGAAATCTATGGCTGTAGCATCCTTGATTGATGACTATTACTTTAAACCAGTGTTCTCAACTGTGGCAATTTTAAGATGCAAGGAATTCAATTCCCAGAATTCCCCAGCCAGCATGCAATCTGGACATCAAATCCAACTAACACTGAAAACAAAATTAATGGTTTTTTTACATTTGTTGCTTTGGATTTAACCGCCTGGAGAAAAAAATAACAGTTTTGTTACAATGATTGCTCTTCAGGTACCTGAGGGTGATTAGATGATTAACATACTCCTTCTTAATCATAATTAAAATGGACATTGACTAAGTGATCTCTGTACTAACTTTGTCACCTTCCTCTGGGAACTCTTCATCAACATCTATAAGTAGCAGAAGAAATATTTTAAAGCAGATTTTAACTTCATGTATGAAAATGGTCTCTATTTCTAGCTGTGTCGATCTGAGTATAGTGATACCACAAGAATCAGCCTTGTACAGAACCAATTTCTCTGTAGCTATCCCTCATTTGTAGAATTAGTTACTGAAGATACAATTTAGTTTGACATTTTGTATTTTAAAGGCTTCACAGAATACTATATGAAATTTTTCACAATGTATTAGTGCAGTGTTGAAATCTCCCCATTTACCTCTTGTCTGTGATCATTACTAACCAAAGAATTTGATTAAAAGAGGGGAGTTATTACTGATGAAAAATGCATTCTGTTCATATTATTGAAATATAGAATGGGTTTTCTTGCAGTTTGTATCATAATCAGCTATGCAGAAAAATAGGGAAATGTTATCTTGCAATTTATATTGCTTTATCAACATTTCTTACTAAAAAGTGTAGATGTACAATGCAGTTTGCATTACTTTCAAGAAGACGTAAAAATGAGGGTTGTCACAAAACAGTGCATTCTGAAGATAAAGATTTCCAAGCAAATCTGTCTGAATTCCAGGGCACATCCTTGATGTCAGTATAATGCCAGGGGTTATGGTATATCCAAATATGAAAACATCCAACATACTGCCAGTATGTTGCAGTATGAGCTCAGAGGAACCAATGCTAAGACAGTGAACTAGCTGAACATCTTACAAATAATTAGGGAAGCGTAGCCTGTTGCCCAAGGCCTAACCTATCATGTATGAACAAGCCCTTTGTTCTATGCTCTTTCAAAAATAAAGCACTGCAGGCTCCATTAATGCATGATGTAACTTCACAGTCATTAAAATATGATTCCACAGACTAAGAGGCGCTATGCAAAATTAATACTTCGGCCCCAAGTAAACAGGAAATGTAGTATTACTCCAGGATCCATATCTGCAGGCACTACAGTCAAGTCAGATATTTCTAGCTTCTCAAAAGTTCAAGTAAGATTAAAATCTTCATGTATTTCTTTGTCTTATTTTTTGTTTTCTGTTTTGTAAGTGCCGTGTAAAATTAAATGATCTTTAAAACAATTAAGCTTTTAAATATGTTTTTAAATTGTGGGATAGAGTGGGGTCAGATGAATTTGTTTGGAAAGGGTGGGGCCAGGTGCAGTGAGCTTATATGTGGATATGGAAATATAAAGATTTTCCCACAGGTATTAATCCTCAAGATGGAAATCTGTAGCGATACAATTTCATAAACCACTTGCTACAGAAACAATAGTTTCATTTTATGCTGCACTAGTCAGATCATCAAATAGGATTGATTAGGATGGAATAAAATGGAAACCTATTCCATTCAGAAGGACCCAATGCAAGAAAAAGGTAGACAAAATTGAATGGTTCCAGAGGACAATAAAGATACTAAGAAGTTTGGCAAAGGATCGCTGGGCAAAGGTTAAAAAGAGCTGGCTAGGTTTAGGCTGAAGAAGGCAATGTGGGGAGAGGCATGATAGCATTCCTCAAATACTCCATGGTTTTTCACACAGAAGATAAATAAATTCCAGTATTCTCTGCTGTTCCTGAAGACAGAATTAAATTTAAAGGCCTAAATTACAGACGGTGGGGATAAATGTCCCCTGAATATTAGAAAGAAATTCATAATGATAGGAGTTGAATTGTAAAAAATACCTGGGATGGCTTTCTGGTGAAAGTGTACAAGAGACGTTGGATAACCAACTGTGATACTTTAGCATTGGCCTTAAGTGGATTATCTACAAAAGGGTCTCTTACTCTACGTAATATTTAGCAATGGTATGAATTATTTACAAGCAAACTCATTTCTAGTTTGTTGAATTTCATGTTCTCAATCATACAAAAGCTATTTGTGTTCAAGATGCAGCTCTCTTCAGACTTCAGTACACAAAGCCAGTGACGGAAAGTATTGGCATACACCATAGGCAGAGCAAGGAACTGTGGCAATAATCTTACACAGTTTAATCTGCCTCCTTGAATAACAAAGTCACAACAAATAGTGAAAAGGACTTATGAGATACATTGTAGGACTCCAAATACTTTTAAAAGACAATAATTCCTTAGCGTCTCCACATTAAGTAGAAGGAAGAAGCAGAAGTAGTGCTATGTTATTTAATTAATTTCTTTTTAAGGGTCAGGTTGTGATCTATAAAATACAAGATCTTGCCCTGAAAGCAGCTTTAAAAATACAACTTTAATGCGAACAAAATACAATCCTAAACTCTCTGACGCTCATAAAAAAAATTGAAAATCTCAGAACAGCCCAGAGTGTTCAATGGGAATACTATCACTACCACACTCACCAGGGTAGGGAAATGGGAAAGAATGCTGGCAGGAGAAGTGAAACTTTTGGTTGCAAAAATGTTTTCCTGTTGTTATAAATCCAGTGCAAGTTATTTTACCATGTGATTAAAAACACATTATTTAAGGAGTGAAGTATTTTCTGGTTTGTACAGTTAGGTAGTTGTTACAGAATCACAGCCACAAGTAAGTATTTAGAATTAATCTTAAGAAGAAGCAGAACTTTGCTGCAACATTTTTGAAGGAGAAAGGCTAATTTAATATTTATATTATAGTAATTTATGATTATAAATTATGTTCATGTGTATTTGTATATTTAAGGAACACTGAAGAGCACAGGCTGGATAAAAGAATGGAATTTAAGACCTGCTTAGTACTAGCTACTGCTTTGTGTTTAGGATTTGTAGGCCCTCAAAAGAGTAGTCACCCACCATGTAAGTATATAATATTTATTAATAACTTAAGCAAGGTAAATTGATGATAAAGTCATGGGTTAGCTATTAATTGGTTAATACAGTAAGCAAGCAAAAATGGGTAAGAAACTCATTTTATTTGCTATATCATAATTCATGCATATGAATACTATATATGTGACTATATATTCATATGAGTACATTATAATTATATGAATATATATGACTTTAGAGGGGGGTGTAATGGCTCAGCAATTAAAGACACTGAGCTTGTTAGCTGGAAAGCATTCAGGTTTGAGACCTGAGTGCTGCATGATGGAGTGAGCTTCCATTACTTGCTCCAGCTCCTGTCAACCTAGCAGTTTGAAATCATGCAAATGCAAATAGATAAATAGGTACCACTTTGGTGGGAAGGTAACATTATTCTGTGTACCTTGGCATATACCCATGCTGGCCACATGAGCATGGAAATGTCTGCATAATATTGGCTCCCTCGGCTAAAAAACAGATGAGATGAGCACCAACCCTAGAGTCAAAAACAGCTGGAAAGGGGAAACTTTTATCTTTACCTACAGTATATGATTGTATGTGATATAGTTCATAACCTAAACATATATTTGCTCCAATTAAATAATGTGGGAATTCTAAAGTCCATTGGCCTCATTAGTACATATTTTGAGTAGACATGTATATGATTGTTCTCCAGGATACCATTCCCTCTTTTGGGTCTATGTCTGGCTCTCTTGTTAAATATGTGCAGGTATTATGGAACCATCCAAAAGCATTGGAGTACTGGGTGCATTACCAGATATCCGAACAAATAAGAAGGACATGGGAAATTGGGAAGATCAAATGGAAGAAGAATGAAGTGTTTAACTTTGTTGGCTTCACAGTAAAAATTACAGTAAAAAGTGACAGAAAAAACATGTTTAGATCTACATTTATATGAAATTACTTTTTCCAACATCAAAAAGACTAGCTTTTCAATCACAGGAATGTACTAGAGCAAGAGAGGAGGCAAAAGATTGCATCATGTAGTAAGAGATTAAGGTCTTATCAGTTTCAGGCAGAAGGCAGCCTGGAGAGTACTAGTCAACCTAGGCCACAAAGCTGAGCTTGTTAACTTGTCATTAGCACTTATTAGGGAAGCACTGGCTCTGGGAGAAAAGCTGCTCAGAAAGAGATTGCTTGTAGATACGTAAGCATCCAGACGGTACTTGATTTTTAAGGCTACATCTGCTGGACAGAGGACATGATGACAAAATAGAGGACGTATTTCCTTTTGATGGACATCTGGTAACCCTATCCAAAGTATCTGAACCGGAAAACTTTTGATTGCTGAACTGAAGTAGCCAGGCAAATAGCTTCAAGGATTTGTCCCAGTGGTACTCATAGGCAATTACAAGCAGGGATGTTGGCAGGGGAGGGGAGGGGAGGGGAGGAGAAAAGTGGCAAATGATGACATATGTGTAGTCACCTGAGTGTTGTGATTGTATTTTTGTCAGGATAACTAATGTAACTATGTAAGTCACAGCATTTGGGTGAATACTTCTTTGGGTGTATATTATTTTTGGTATTGTCACATTTTCTCAATGAGAGGCTATTGCAAATTAGAATGCTGAGAAGATTTAGAATGAACTATCCCAGAAAACAGACCATCAGAATTCTAGACCATAAAAAAAAAATCCTTGTGTATTTCTTACAACAAGAAAAATGTTTTGGAGAAAATTGAATCTATATTTAATACATTCTGTTAAAAATCTAAGGGAATCAATGTGGGAATCTGATGTTCAGACACTGCATATCTATGTAAGGAACCTGCCAACATATATTGAAATTATGGCTATAGGATAGAACTTTTTACTTCTTAGTATATTAAATGATCTATTTGTGTGTGGTAGGTTTAATAGACTGGATTTATTTATTTATATTCTTGCTTAAAGCACCAGTATTTAATATGAAAGAGTATATTTAAATCAGCCTTCTACATATGTTAAGAAAGTGTAAAACCATATGGAGAAGGGGATGTTATTAATGATCATGGGATGGTTTAAACACAACTCACAGCTAAAGTTGTACGATACACAGAGAAGTAATAACTGTGATTGTTCCAAATGTATTATTAATAAATATTAGTACAGAATGATTCTTACCTCTAAATCATTGGTTATTATCTTCAGAATTGTGAGTCTTGTATCTTCCATTGAAAAAAAATGGAAACGACTAAGAGAAGAGCATATCAGAAAAGGAGCACTGCTTAATATAGCTAGTCAGAAATACTGACTATTGAATTTGAGAAAAATGCATTCACAGAGAAGAAAAGATCACAGGCAACTGCCCAATTTCTTTCTCCCAAACAGATGCCTGCCAATGTCTAATGGAAGTCAGCAAAAGAGATGAATGTGAATTTTCTTCAGAAAACATTACTGCAGAGCAGTGCACAGCAAATGGATGTTGCTTTGATGCATCGATGCCTGACGTCCCCTGGTGCTTCAAACCATCAGGTGAAAGAGGTACGGAGAGGTGGGCAGCAGAAAGGGAGATTGTCTATGGAGGTCATGGTTGTCCCTAAAGTGCTTTTTGAAAGGCAGCTGGGCTGTCTTTTATTTTCCCCCTTGAAGACGTTTTGCTTTTCATCCAAGAAGCTTCTTTGGTTCTTCTTCACTTCTTCAGAACTGAAGAAGCTTCTTGGATGAGAAGCAAAATGTCTTCAGGGAAAAAAAACAAAGCAAGTCAAGTGGCCTTTTGAAAAGCACCTTTGGGAGAAAGGGAGATTGTACCCCTTCAGGCAGAATGCAACTTTTATTTTTTAAGCCATAGCCAAGCTTATTATCTGGAAAATACAGTGACCTGCATATTATTTATAATAACAGCTTCAGTAACCTATGCAAGGAAAATGATTCCACCAGATGAAAGAAAGGAGTGTGGCTATCAAGGGATCACACGCAAAAGGTGCAAACGAATTGGATGCTGCTTTGATCTAAAGGCATCTGGAGCACCAACCTGTTTTCATCCTCCAGTAAATGACGGTAAGTAATTTTTTGAGTTCTTTAAGACCTAAACAACAAATGAAAGAAAAGCAATAAAATGTATATCCACTTTTCCCAATTTTCTTTAAAATCCATCTCCCCCCCCCTTTTTATTCAATATACTAAAGCAGATATATCTAACCTTGGCAACTTTAAGACTTGTACACTTCAACTTCTAGAATTCCCCAGCCAGCATGGCTGGCTTGGAAATACTGGGAGTTGAAGTCAATGGGTCTTAAAATTGCCAAGGTTGGACACCCCCCCATTATCTAAAGTGTCTAAATCAGTGGTTCTCAAGCCCCAACCGGTTGTAAGTCGAGGACTACTCAGCTGGTGCAGCACCGTTTGCAGACTGGGACTTTTGGCAGGCTCAGCAGGGCAGAGACAGCCTGGAAAATTCCTATTGGCTTTTGAAAGCCAATAGAATTAGACTCTATTCAAGAGAGTCTATTCTATTGGCTTTCAAAAGCCAATAGAAAAAAAGGGAGTAGCACAGCTAAGGAAGAGGGGAAAAAATATGGCGGACTGCGTTGTTTGGCAACCCCCGTGAAATGGTCATTTGACCCCAAATGGGGTCCCAACCCACAGGTTGAGAACCACTGGTCTAAATAATATAACATTAAGATGGTTAGCATATTATATAAATATCATTGCACTGAAATAAAATAATGCGTCAAGATTTATATTAACACAATACAAAGCAAAAAAGAAGCAAAACCAGCTTACAAGTCTACTACTTCAATTTCTGGTAAAAGTATGCTGATACCTCAAAAGAAGTTGCACGTATATAAGAGCTTCATTGCAAAAGCCAAAGCAGCCATCTCTTTAGTTTGCTGTGTTGGCTGAACAGAAATCAGAATTTACAGTCCATCCAGGAGAGGACTTCTGCTACTTGAAAGCTCCGGTTTGTTTTATGAATTAAAGAATAAAACACGATCACCGGGAGGGTTGAAGTAAGACTACTTTACTAAAAATATACTATACTTATACTAAAAAGTTGCCAAGTTGTGTTTTATTCTTTTATTCATAATTATGCCCGGGAGTTGCATTTTTACCAATATTCTTCTATATATATATATATATGAAAAATATAAGGAAAGATGATTTTAATCATGTAATGTGACTCATTTTTCTGAATAGCTTCTCAATACTGTGTAATGGAAGGGAGCGCAAGGCTAGAATGTGGTTATCCAAGCATCAGTGCTGAGGAATGCCAAGCAAAGGGGTGTTGCTTCAATTCATATGACATTAATACCCGGTGGTGCTTTCATCCTCTATCGGACACAGGTAAGTATCCAACGATTTGTTCATGGAAACCACGTTTAACTAAAACTGAAGGAGAGAAAATCAATCTGGTGAGAATAATTTAGGGGTGACTAGAAGGTGTGAGGGTTGGAGCTGGGAAGGTAGAGAACAAACCACTTGGGACCAGAGAGGATCCATTTTATAAATAAAAACCAGATGCTATTAACAAGTGAGCATGATACATGGACTGCAAGCAGTCTGCTCCATTCAAGGAATGACATAAACTCAGCATTTATACTTTGGCATAGATGTAGATAGGGGGGGGGGGAGAGAAAAAAATATTCTAGTTTTTTAGGCTCTGTACAAGTAGATTTTTGTTGTGCTAGCATCATTCATATTTGCAATAAAACATCTTATCTAATCAAACTGAGTTTTGACTTTCCTGGAAGTGTGCTGAGTTCCGTGAGGAAGAATTATTGTTGTAGTGGCTTGCCATGCAACCCCGATAAGTGTAATGACTTTAACTGTTATCTTATCTCCATTGCTTGTTTTTTATTATAATATGACTCTATAGTAGAATGTTTTTATCTCTGAAAGCTGCCATAGCAGACTTCTGTCTTAAAGGGGGCAAAGAAATATTGTAAATAAATGTATAAATTTATTCATAATAGAATATTTTATAGAATACTTTAATTGGCCAAGTGTGATTAGACACACAAGGAATTTGTCTCTGGGGCATCTCTCAGTGAACGTGCAAAGTAATAACAGAGTAATAATCATCATCATAATGATATCAATAAGAAGTAAGTCTTTGCTTGAGATGGGAGATCTTTCCCCTAAGATGAATCATATTGTTTTTCTACATCCATTGTTATAACAATTTCTAGATTAGTGTATATATATATATATATAGGTCTTTGGTTGTTCGGGTTTTCTCCCGTGTAAAATTGGAAGTGTCTTGGCGACGTTTTGATGAAGTCCCATTCGTCATCTTCAGGCTGGTGTTTTCAGCTTCTTGCTTCTAGGAGCAATGTGTGATCATAGCTGTTTCTTCCTTTTAACTGCTAGTGAGGGTATGAACTGATTGGATGGGAGCTTGGCTGTGTTCTGATCAGTAGCAACTTGACAGCATATATACTGTATATATATAAAAATAGTACTAAAAATAGAGGAATAATTCCTGGGTGTATACATGTTAAGAAATAAAATGTGATCACCAGGAAGAAATATAAAACATTTAAAAGTTTTAAATATAAAACGCTAAAAGTTTTAAATATAAAACGCTAAAAGTTTTAAATATAAAACATTAAAAGTTTTTAATAAAAAGCAGACCTAGCTTTTGTTGGCTCCTGCCAACATCATCAGGGTACAAAACAAATTTTATGGGATAAACATTTATAGTCAAGCCAGCGCCTGCGCTCGACTTCTGGAACATGTAACAGGTCCCAACCGGCCAATCACTGTATCTGTACCAATCTCTACACAATTAGTTAATTTGTCCTCATCCCCCCCAATTGATCAATAGCCCTCTTGAATCACGGGTGCAGAGAGGTGGGAGAATAGCAACCAATATGCATGTAGATAAGGGGGATGAGGACAAATTAACTGTGTAGAGATTGGTACAGATACAGTGATTGGCCGGTTGGGACCTGTTACACGTTCCAGAAGTCGAGCGCAGGTGCTGGCTTGACTATAAATGTTTCTCCCATTGATTTGTTTTGTACCCTGATGATGTTGGCAGGAGCCAACGAAAGCTAGGTCTGCTTTTTATTAAAAACTTTTATATTTAAAACTTTTAAATGTTTTATATTTCTTCCTGGTGATCACATTTTATTTCTTAACACACACACACACACACACACACACACACACACACACACACACACATTAACATCAGCATTTTCCCTCATAATGCTATTGTTTGCTATTGTTCCAGCACTCTTATATCAATTTGCATTGTGTAAATCATCACAATGCCTAGAAAACAATCCTCTTTAACGCTTTCAAAATTTGGGAAGCTTGAAGATACAGAAAACAGAAAGGGGGTAGGATTTGTTTGTTCATCCTTTTTCAGCCTCTTCCTTAACCATGCCGCCATACTTGTGGCTATATTAACTAAAATATACATGCTATTATTTTTGAGAATTCTCACAATGCTATAACAGAAGTATGAGCATCACTGAAAGAGGGACAATGATGCTGCTTTATTACCAAGAGAAAATATTCAAAGACATCAAGACTCAACTTTTTTACTATAATTTTGTTTTAAGTACCTGCGAGGCTATGTGGAATGGCACCCAAGAGACGAGTGTCGTGTGGAGCTCCTGGCATCTCTGCTGATGAATGCATGGCGAAAGGATGCTGCTATGAACATTACCAGTACGCCAAAACAGTCCCCTGGTGTTTCCAGCCATATGAAAAACAAGGAAATTATTCTTTCTGAAGAACAAAATTGAAAGAAATGTGGTTTGTTTGAAGATGCTTACAAAGTGAAGGGCAATAGACATAACATTCATATGGGGATTTGCTCATATTCTTTGTATTATTGTAGTAAATGTTTAGTGTTGAATATTTTGAGGGTATTCTGCTTTACTTCTCACTTTTGCAGAAGGAAGAATTATAGCATCATTACTAAAATTATCGAAGAATAAATCAACAGCAAATTCATATTTTTGCACAATTCCTGAATTATAAATAATATTCAATTCACTGACTAAACATTCAAAATAAACAATCTGAAAGTACATTAAGGTTTGTACTCAGTGCACAGATTTAAAGGCATTTGTTCAGCTTTGGCTGTTGGATAGAGTCTTACCCCTTCTTGGATAGATCGCTGTAAAGGCATGTACACAAATATATCCTTGGATATTTTAGCCATATAGGTGGTCCAAAATAGGGGAACTAGATTTTTAAATAAGAACAGAGCAAAGACAACCATGCTTACTCCATTTGAACACCTTTCCAATCCTAGGTGCAATTAAAGCAGAGGCCCCCAAACTTTTGGGCACCAGGGACCGGTTCCATGGAGAGAGGTTTCTCTGTGGACAGGAGGGGGTGTGGTTTCATGTACTGCTTGAATCCCATGGATGGAGCTTTGCTTGTCTGCCCCGCCCGGTTTCTGGAATGTGCGGACTGGTGCCGGTCCACAAAGCGGGGGTTGGGGACCCCTGCTTTAAAGCAACACAGGTATCCCTCATTTAGCTTCATACAGTGACTGTTTGCAGTTATGACAGTGATAAAAAAGTAACTTTGTGACCAATCCTCACACTTATGATGCTTCCAAATTTCTAAAGCAAAGGAAAGCTGAATTAAGATCATAAGCACAGTCATGTTTTCACTTAACAACCATTTTGTTTAACAACTGAGTTGCTGGTCCCAGTTGTGGTCACTAAATGAGGATTACCTAAAATTAGCTTGAATTCTAAGTATTGTAAAGGTCACTCACTTCAGAATGCTTTGCTTTTAAAATTAGGAAAACTGGTTTTCTTCCAGATTAGAATAAACATAAAAGCAAGTCTTCTTGGGAACTTCATACCATTCTGTCAGTTATCCAGACTTAAAGAAACTGGACTTTTCCCATGGCTTTTGTTGCTTTTATTTAATTGAATTTTAATTGGTTCTGACGTTGGGATTAGTGTTTAAGGGTATATATTTTCCCTCTTTCCTCTTAGATTTAAATTATCTTTCGAAGAAATGTTTCCTATATTCTGTGAGTACATTTGAGAAGGAAAATGCATTTTGATGAAATGCAAAATGGGGTGTTACTCAATCTACATACTTATCTGAGACGTTACTTTCCATATTGCTAAGAATGGGGGGGGGGGAGTTTATACTAGCCAGCAGAAAGTACCAGAAAGAACAGAGTAGAGTGATGGAGCAAAAGCCTTTTTTAGTAAATTGGTGTTGGTATGAAGCAGAGGGGATTTTTTTTAAAGGCTTTCCTTCTTAGTTTGCTAAAATTTGTTTCATCTGAAACTGTTCAATATTTGACAGTTGGCTAATGGCCCATCTTGGCTTTTATAAACACCTGACTGACATTTATTATTTTTCCCTTGCAAATATTATCCAGATACCTCCACCACACATCTAATAAAAATCTAAATAACATTTTCTAATTACTTAAGGTGGGGCTTAACCGATAATTTGTTATCTGAATGAAGTACACAAACATTGTGATATAAAATAAGCTCCATTTATGCCACATAATACTCTCTTTGATCCAAATCCCTACTTTCCAAGAGTTGTGTGCTATGAAGAATCAGAAAAGGGTCTGGTTATGTCTAGCTATTTTAATTCTAGGTTGCAGCATACTGCTCGAAGGGGCAAGAGCTCCACGTAAGTACTTTACTTTAAACTAGCATTTTGCTGCATGGAAGTAAGTACATGGAAGACACTAAATATGATATTTAACTCACCTAATATTTGGACAGTTTTATCTCATTGCTGATATGTGGAATCTTCTAGATAATCTTATTTCTGCTATTGCTAAGCTTTACTGGTTTGACAGTCATTCATCAGTTAGGCAGGAGTCCCTGACACCTGGGCTGCGGACTACTGCCACTCCGTGGTCTGTTGGGAACCAGACTGAGCAAGAGGCAGGTGAGTATGTGAAGCTTCATCTGTGCAGGCAGAGGAGCTAGGTTGCCCGTGTGAAACCATTCCCTCCCCTTCTCCCGCCGCCTCTGCTGCTGCTGGTCTATGAATCCAGAAAGGTTGGGGACTGCTGAATTAAGGATTAAACTATGCACGCATGCTTTACAGTATAACATTTTAAAACATAAGTTACAAAGGGTTGTCCAGCTTCGTTAGCCCAGGACTTCATATTAAAGCATCCCCAATTGATGAGTCTCTAGCCTGTTATTGAACATATCCAGTGAAAAGGAACTTATCATTTCTGCAAGTGATAACATTATTCCAATGTAAAATTGCTCTTATTGTTACAATCATTATTCCATGTCTTGCTTCTCTGCTCTTTGGGTAACATCTATATAGAAGAAAACTACATTTTCCAGCTAAAGAGCAAAGACATGTTTATTTAATTCTAGCATTACATCCCAACATCTCTCTCTTGTGCTTATGCAGAGAGATTCCATCACTTGATCCTTTGAATTGTTGCTTCCTCCACAGAGAACTTTTTATAATCCAACATCTTCTACTAATTTGGATTCATAGATTTGGTCTCATAGGTTGGTCTGAAAGACCATGCTGGTTGGACAGCATGAAGGCGTAGCACATGCAGGTGACTGTAGGTTAGGAGAGTTAACATTAAAAGTTAACACCCATCTGATTTGGTATAATATTGCAGGATTAACAGCTTTTGAGCATGACTGAATCTAGAAAGTTGAAGCTTAAGAGGAAACACAGATTTTCTTAAAACATGCATCTTTGGATAAGTATGTTAATGGCAAACATTCAAAATAGCACCTAACTATTGAACTATTTCAGCAACAAGGAATTAGCTCAGTAACAAGATCCCTTGGTTTGGATTGATTTTGCTAACAGACTGGAACAATGTGCCCTTTACAAGGTGTCTTTTAAAAGAAACTAACCATGAAGTAGCCAATTATTATATTAATCTTTCACAGCAACGTTTAAAAGTGGGAATTGTGGGCAGTAGGGCAGCATATTCACTCACTTGTCAAAAATTTAAGTGGGGAGACACTTTTTCTGCATTTCTGAAGTTCTACATTTTTATAAAAAATAGTACTCCAACATTCTTTTTGCAATACACATGATGCTGGCTTCCATGGTGATAGCTAAAAAAATGACTTGCCATACAGGGTAACATGGGATAACCATGAATTTTGTCTTTTGACAGCAAAAAGCCGATGTGACGTTGATCCCCACAAACGATCCAACTGTGGACCTCCCGGGATCACTTCCCAGGAATGTGAAAATAAAGGATGTTGCTTTAATTCAAAAGTGCCAGGAGTCCCTTGGTGCTTTAAACCAACCCCTCCAAAATGTAATTGATCTATGTGATACTAAATCAGACTTTTCCAGCTCTTAAATTAGGGGTGTCAAACTCAATTTCATTGAGGGCCGCATCAGCATTGTGGTTGTCCTCGGGGGTGGGTGGGTAGGTGTGGCCTACTGGGTGGGCATGGCTGGAGTGGGTGTGGCCTACTGGGTGGGCATGGCCAGCTCTACATCGTTCATGTGAAAGGTGCCTGTGGGGCCCTGGGCAGGAATGGGAAGGATCTGAAGGTCTCTGGCAGAAGGGGGTGGGACCAGGGCAAGCACCAAGGCATGGTTCATTGGAAGAGCCTGCTGAAACCCCTCCCCCAGAGCCCATCAAGCCGAATATCTGAAGTAAGCAAGGGCCATTTGCTGGCCACATCTAGGCAATGGTGCATTTCTTCATTCCTCAAAAAGGGTGACACCTTGCCAGCATGCACCCAGGGGAAGGAGCGGATGCGGCAGGGGCTGGTTCCTCGCTGTTTCCAGGCGGCCTTGTGGAGCTAAGGCTGAATGCGTTTCAGCATAGATAGCCACCACAAAATTGTACATTGGCTCTCGGCCGTTCTGGGGGGCCGTTCCCTCACTGTTTCCAGGATGGCTTTGCAGGCCACGTGAAACCATGTCGTAGGCCACATCCGTCCCCCCGGCCTTGTGTTTAATATGTCGGTCTTAAATGATATCCAAATTGGTGGAATAGATAAGAACTTTGAAACAGCTATCTTGCTGGTGATAGCAGTGAGACCATATCACAGATACACACGATGCTGGCTTCCATGGTGATAGCTAAAAAAAAAATGATTTGCCATACATGGTAACATGGGATAACTATGAGTTTTGTCTTTTGACAGCAAAATGCCGATGTAACATTGATCCCCACAAACGATGCAACTGTGGACCTCCCGGGATCACTTCCCAGGAATGCGAAAATAAAGGATGTTGCTTCAATTCAACAGTGCCAGGAGTTCCTTGGTGCTTTAAACCAACCCCTCCAAAATGTAATTGATCTGTGTGATACTAAATCAGACCCCAAAATTTATGTTTTATGTATAGAAAGGTATTATCTGAAAGAAGATATAGCCTCAATGATAGAGGCAAGCTTGAAAGTTAGTTGAAGAGTACTGAAACATTATCCAAAGTATGCAGTGTATGTAAATCCATTTTCTCAACTACTCTTAGTTGACAGTTTGTCAATTATTGAGGTCACAAATAGAGGTAGCTGAAATTCAGAAAAATAAATAGATCTAAAGATGATCTAGATCAGTGGTTCTCAACCTGTGGGTCGGGACCCCATTTGGGGTCGAACGACCATTTCACGGGGGTCGCCAAACAACGCAGTCCGCCATATTTTTTTCCCCTCTTCCTTAGCTGTGCTACTCCCTTTTATTCTATTGGCTTTTGATAGCCAATAGAATAGACTCTCTTGAATAGAGTCTAATTCTATTGGCTTTCAAAAGCCAATAGGAATTGTCCAGGCTGTCTCTGCCCTGCTGAGCCTGTCAAAAGTCCCATTCTGCAAACGGTGCTGCACCAGTTGAGTAGTCCTCGACTTATGACCGGTTGAGTAGTCCTCGACTTACGACTGGTTGGGGGGTCGCGGCATTAAAAAGGTTGAGAACCACTGATCTAGTATCTAAGCAAATTTGTGATAATTAAAGATGCTGCTTGTATGAGCAAAAACTCTAAGCAAAAAATTTGGTCTGTGTAGTACTTCTGATTCAACTCCAGGAGTTTCAGTGGAAGACTGCAAATGTAACATCTGTTTGTATCTCTTTAATGTAGCCACATCTTTTCTGGGATCGTACAGCTGTGGCTGCCACTTATCTGCTTTAAAGAGTTACAGACAGGAGTTACGTTCCCACACCTTCATTTTCAAAGCTGTCCTTTGGAACAAATCTCAACCACTGTACAGGACAATCAGATTTAGGGTCACAATTAGGGTCCATCAAGAGAACCCTTAAAAGCTATCCGTTAGATTTTGAGTTCTTGTGAAACATGCACACCTGATTTTACCTTTTGAAAGAGAAATGAGGCAGGAGATCTGTGAGATTAATTTATATTATTCATTAGGCCATGGGCAGTTTTAATTCTTAAATATGAGTCAGCATCTTAAAAGTATTGTAATGCATTTTGAACTATAGGCATTCTTTATTATGTCAGGCCATTGTAATTTTGATTACAATTTTAATTATAATTACACACTGCTTACTAAATTTTGTCTGAAAATAGTATGTGTTCTTACCCTATTATTTCATGTACATAGTTAGGGGTTGAAGTCTGCTAAATAAATAATTCTCTTGGCTGCTAGTAATTTCTGGGTAAGAGGTATTCTTTTGGAACATTGCTTAGAAGTAACACAACTATATGATAAAGTCTTTTTTTGGGAAGTAACAGAGCCCAAACTGCTTTTGACAATCATTACAACCCAAGCCCAGTTAGATGAGTTATTATTCAGAGGTTCCTTAAGGTGAGACATTTAAATACTTCAATATCGTTCTGAAATGATTTCCTAAACAACACAGCATAGTTTGCAATGTTATGAAGAATATAGGGTTTTGTTTTGCATTTCTCAGTGATTTGATACATATTTTATTAAACTTATTACTTTAACTGCTACAATATTTTTAGTTCTTATTCCTCCTGCTCAGATGAGTTGAAAATTATTGTAACGGAACATAATAAAATATAAGTTTAATAGTGCTCCCTTTAGCGGATTTTGAATGCAGCAGATTCCAGAAATAATGGATAGACCATTGTATCTGAATAGTCTAGATAAGGTAGTCATATTTGCATATATTTTGTTACATTTTTATGCAATTCCTGTCATTCTATGTCATTTTAATTATGACTTCATTATGCAAATAATACACATTGACACAAAAATATAATTTTCATCATTTGCAAAATGATTCTATTCAGTGCTTTTTTTCTAAAAAAAAAAAAAAAAAAAAAAGGTGCCAGAACTCATGCACATCGTACAACCCGCCTTACCTACCCTACAAGGTTCCATTCAAAAAGAGTGCTGGAACTCTGTTCTGGGCATTCTATGACAAAAAAAGCCCTGATTCTATTACACAAATGTAAATTATGTATTCTTTCAGATTTAATGGACATTCAGAACTAATAATGACTTCTTCTGAATGGTACATTAAATTGAGATTTTTAAATCACCCTCCGTTACAGTCAGAGAAATCCATGATAAATGCATGCATGGAATCTGAATGTTAATAAAACGGGGGTCAGCACTTATCTGTCTATGTAAAACACAGCACCTCCTGATGGCTTCACCCAACAATACATCACCCAATTGTTACCAAGATAGACAGCATGTACAGCTATAGTATCTAGAATCTACTATAAATAGTGTATTCAGAACCAAATTACAGCTAGCCCTGACCCACTAATCCTGAGTTAATTTATTTTCCAAACAGATAGAAAGGTGTGTCCTACAGATGTGAAACTCCGGAAGAACTGTGGCTATCCAGGAATCCCGGCTGATAAATGTGCAAAAAGAAAGTGCTGTTTTGACAGCAAACCACCTGGTGTCCCATGGTGCTTTTTTCATATCATTGTGGAAGAAGGTAAGGAACAAGTATGTTTCGATGAATGCAACAACCTTTTAAAGGAGACACATGCTAAGATACTTTCTGGCATACAGTACAGTATAGATTTCCATTGTGAGTAGAACTCCTCATTTAACTGCATTTGCTTACAGTACCTTAGAATTAAAATGATGTATGCACATTTAATTTTTATATCAGCGTTTTTCCCTGTTTCTTAGTTTATAATCTGCTAGCAGGAATTTTGGGGGGGGGGGTATTTTGTCTTTCCTTTGAGGAAGGGGAAATTATTATTATTATTTTTTAAACTACCTTAAGTCTGTTTTAGGGCTTAGGCTACAGTTTGGGTAGAGATTCCCATCTCAAAGTGACAGGACACAATGTCACCAATTTCAATAATCATAGCCTGGGAATTTGCACATAAAAAAATAACAAAACAAAAACACGGTCTGCATGGGTTTCCCAGGCACTTCGTCTTCTCAAAACCCAGGTTTCAGATTATTCTAGAAGTTAAAAAAAAGAGAGAGAAAACATTTTGTTTAATTTTCATTTTATTCAGAAACTGCTATAAACTCTGCAATCTAGGAGCCATTTTCTTAAAACATAGACCAGGGTTCTCCAAACTTGACAACTTCAGGATTTGTGGACTTGAACTCCCAGAATTCCTCAGCCAGCTGGTTGGGGAATTTTAGGAATTGAAGTCCACAAAACTTAAAGTTGCCAAGTTTGGAGAGCCCTGACACAGAGCACTGGCTGCTTTCATCAGAAAGCAATGGTTATGATTCTGAATGCAGCTAGATTCACTTAAGACCCTCAGTTTTATATCTACATTTTGAGAACAGTTCCAGCATTGCAGGCAGTGATGTATGTCTTCCTAAAGTGGAATGAGAGGTGAGATTGAAGGGAGAAACCGATACCGGGTTAAGGACCATAGTGGTAAATATCAATGAGAGCACTAACTTTGATTCTGCTTTTGGTCTTCTGAATGCTGCAGCCCATTACAGATGAGTGGCATGTGTGTCTAGGGCAAATTGTGATGCAAGGTGTACTGCAATGGGATGTTCTGAACCCCAACTTTTTGTACTTGCATCTTAACTTTATATGCTAGTATGTACAGGTTGTCTTCAACTTACAACCACAATTGAGCCCAATATTTCCATTGTTAAGCAAGGCAGTTGTTAAGTGGATTTTCCCCATTTTATGACCTTGTTGCCACTTTTATTAAGTGAATCATGTGATCATTAAGTTGACTTTGCTTGTTGGAAGCAAATAGTGAACACATGACCCCAGGACAGTGCAACTGTCTTGGAGTCATGTGATCACCATGTGCTAAATATATGCGATAACCATGTGCTAAATATATGCCAAATGCTAAGTGCCCAAACTTTGATCGCGTGACTGTGAGGACACTGCAATGGTTGCCAGTGTGAAAACCAATCGTAGGTCACTTTTTCCAGTGCTGTTGTAATTTCAAAGAGTCACTAAACAAATGGTTGTAAGTTGAGGACTAGCTACAAATCATGGACTTTGTGTGATGATGTCAGGATTCATATTTGACTTTTGAACATATACACACAATTTCCCGTGTAAGTGCCGGACACAACACTGGAAAACACTGAGTAACATAAAGCCAATTGGAAGGGACCCTCGTTCAGTTGTTGTGATGTGAATAGATTTGATATAAGCCAATTCTAAATGTTGCAGACAAAAGAGGCTCTAACTTACTGGGACGGAAACCAGCATCAGAGTAAGAAGGAAATTAGTGTGATAAATATTTCAGAGACAAAAACTTGCAGTTATGGTCCTAGTAGAATATGTGTTGTTACTTTTTTGGGGAGTTGATAGAAATAGAAATAAGAGAGAAAAGCTGAAAAAAGCTTGACTTTTTTTCCGTTTTCTTCCTTTTCAGAGTGTTAAAATGATGCTTCAGGAAGGAGCTTTCACAAAGAGCGTGCTTTCAACAGAACTATTCAAGCACAATGTTATCCCATGTGCTGTAGTAATTTTGGTTCTGTCATACATTATTGCATCTTAATAATAAACACTTAATTACAGATTTTATCACTTCTTTACATCTGCTAAAGGCAATCATGATGATAAGAAAGCAATATTTTTATGTTTATGAATGCACTATAAATTTGCCTCTTGTGTTGATATCCAGGTAGTAGCCTATAGGTGAGACATTAACTTTTTGTAACTGGAAATTTCATTTGTGATGGGCTTCTGTAATTAGAAATATACCACTTAAATAATATGCTATTAAATCATGCAAAACAAACTGAACATAAATGTTTGTGCTAATAGACCATCAAGTATGCTTTATGAAGTTTACTATAAATCCTTGTCAATGATAAACAGCTTCTGACATCTTAAATAACAGCAGAGAATGAATGAATGAATGAATGAATGAATGAATGAATGAACGAACGAATGAATTTCAGAACTCTCTCTGCTTTGGGGCAGCAGTTTCACCCAATTTGGAAATCAAGAGGCAAGGAGGAAGTTTCTCCTGTACTTCTTCAATTACCCAACCTGCAACGTCTTCCCCACCTACCAAGTCCCTCTCTTTCTCAGTGTTAGTTACCATCTGCAGAAGACCTATTGTGCAGCCATGTAAGCAGCATGGGTTTGTGAGGATACTGAAAGTAGAAATGGTAAAGAAGTGATCTGAATATATGTATCGACCACGCACTGAGTAGCAGGCCCATATTTACATACAGACAACCATCCAACCTCAAGCAGATGCTCACAAGCAACAAAAAAGAACACGACCATGTTGCCAAGATGGAAACCAGATTCTGCAACACAGCCTTTGTCCCCAAATCTACACCACAACAGCACTATCACAAGCCCCAATAATATATATTCAAGATTACAAGTACCGTTACAAGCTGTTCCTTCAATGGGATATCTGTCATCAGCTGCCAGCAGGGCCATTCTGTATTCTACACAGAACAAATGGGCAACGTTTGCACAAAAAAATTAATGAACACAAGGACTCAAGCATAAAAAAATAATATCAGAGCCTTCTAATCTTCCAGGATATTCTATAGCAAGCCTCCAACTTACTGCTTGAGAAAGCAGGGCTTTAAGCACAGAGTGAAAAATTGTTGAACTCATATACATCAAAAGAGTTCACACAATCTGAATTCCCAGCATGATTTTTTTAACATGCCACAAATGTTAATTGATGCGTGCTTGCAATCTGTCTCACATATAAACAGCATTTACACAACCAACTTATCTCCTCCTCTCTTCCCCTCCATCCCACCCAGTTTAAATCCTGTATCAGTCCAGCCACTCTATGAAGTAGCCTGCCACTAATAACAAATGTTTAATAAACGTTTTTAGAAAAGGTACCACCAGGTACCTTTTAATAAAAAGTTCTTAGAAAAGGTACCACCAGGCTCCTTTTGGGGGGGGGGCTGGAATCTTTGGTGTGTGAATATTCTTTCCCAAGAATCAAATTTTCAAGCTAATTCCTCCAGCACTGAGAGTCCAGATATGCTCTACCTCAAATTTTTTCCCACCTTCTACCAGGGAGGGAGGGAGGGTAGGTTAGGGGGACTGTATAATGCAATAGGAATGAATGGTGGAAAACTAGGTCTCTCTTCAGACGCTACAGTTTAAAAGATAAAGGATTGATTTTGCTCTCATGAGAATGGTCCCACCCACTCCCCAAACCCTTCAATTTCAATTCTTAGGGTCATATAAAAGGTAGAAACCTATTAGAAAGTCAGATATGATCTCCAGAAGTGATTGGGTGGCCTGTCTGATGAAGGAGGACAGCAGAATGGTTAGAGGAGACTTTGCCTTTGGCTGGCTAAATAATGAGCCCCCTGAATCTCTTAGAGGAGTCTGCAGTCAAATCACAGTAAGATCCTCTTGCAAAAGGAAGTTCTGGTGAAAGAATAGAAAATGAAAATAAAAGCAACATTCAAAATGTTCACCCTGTTACTTAATTCTTAATTTAATGGAGTTTGCCAATTATTAATCTTTTCTTTATAGCCGTCTGGATACAATATCATCAGATTTGATTAAATATTTACTGACTTATTCTTATATTTATTTATTGTAAATATTCGTTTTGTAAATGACATTTTTAGAATATATATGATTGTGGAAGATAATTACCACAAGAAGAACTTGAAAGGTGAAGTGGTGCTAGACACATCCAGAGCTACGGAAAGCCAATGGATGAATGATAAAATGGCAATTTATGTAACATGTTGTGAATATTTTACAGTAATGTAAGAATGAAGTACAGAATTTCTAGAAACCTGCCTCTTGCTGTCAGAGAGAGCATTGTTTTAAAGGATGAGATGAATAAAGACCTCATTATAAAGCTTTCAAGTTCTTCTCAGGAAGCACTCAAAATATTTGTCAGAATGAACTAGAACAAGCAAAGCTAATATGAGAGAGCAATACAAACCTATTTCTTCAGCTGGTTCTTCCTCACCTGAGGAACTTTCAAATGAAGAGCAGTTTTCAGGCATTGTTCCTCATGGCTCAAAAATGGAGGAACAGAATAAGGGGAACAATGGGTTCTTGTGACCACAAACATATTGGATAATTATCTAAGACATTAAACAAGGTGTAAGAAATGTTGCTGCAATAATCTATTACATATGGTTGTTGTTCTGTTCGCGAGTCAAGGGCATTTAAATGAAGCGAGTAACACAAAAGCAGTCTTCTTTATTGCAAGTCAGCAACAGAACAAACCAGTAACAAAATGGCATGCAGGCCTTTTATAGTCTCCTTGCAAGGACAGCGTCAACCAATCAACGCAAGGATGGTTTCGCGCCTTGCGCATGTGCACAAGACTGGTGACAGCCTATCTGGTCCCGGGAACCACGTGGTCTGCCCAGGATTCTCTGCAGCCTTCCTGAGCCTGCTGAGCAATTCAGCAGGCTCAGGACATAACACCCCTCCCCCCTGGATAAAACAATAAGTAACCCTTACTGTTATAGAAACAACATATACGTGTGTTCAATTGGCATTTGTTATTGTTAAACACATTACGCCTGCACACAGGCAGACCCAATCTTGCATTTTATATGTACAAGAATACAGCAAAATGTTTAATACACTGAAATATAACACCCCTTCATTTGAGTGTTTGTTTTCCATTTAAAAGAACTAGCAAGATTCCCTCAGGCTTGACAGAAACCTCACATAGTCCTTAAGATGTTTGGGTGGACCCTTGGCCCGCTGTGACTTTCTTATGGCCGGTGTGTGTGCCTGGCCTGCCAGCTGGCCTACCAGGCTAGGCAGACCAGGACCCTATTGCCCCAAAGACCCAGCTGACCCAGCTGCTGACTGGCTGGATCCACTAAATCCAAGCCAGAGTTCCTTGGTGGGGTGGAATTTCCCAAGTCCAGTGGTGGGGTGGAATTCCCCAAGTCCACAATGGACTCCTTTGGGAGCACTGTCCCTCGAGCCCAAGACCAGCAGCTGGAGTGGCCTGAGTAGCCGATTTACCCCAATGTCCCATTGCCCCAGTGTCTGTGCCACAGGTGCCAGAGTGAAGAGCCGCCTCCATGGCAACCCCACCTTCTGGAGCAATAGCTGAAGCCTGTGAATGTCCACTTGGCCAGGCAAACCCCCTTCTGGAGCAATAGCTGAAGCACTTGGCTGGAGACAGTAATTGTGGTCCTCCTCCCCCCTGAGAGAAGAGCCATGAGCGGAAGTGTTGTTGGGAAGCCTCCAGCGCAGTTAGTCAATGTGACGTCAGATCACACGACCATCATCCAAGCCCACTTCATATGACAGTGGCCCAGAGATCTTGCATACTACTGTTGTGACCCAGATATATCCAGGTCCATAATTCCTTGTCCAGACTGGATCGCTCACCTGTAGTCTCCTAGGTGCCCGTGGCTGTGACACCTGTGAAGCCACCCGGTCTGGGTGCAACCTGTCCAGGTTTGTAATGAGGCAGTGACCCCAGCGGAGTTCAGCTGGGCTCTTTCCTGTGGCTGTGCAAGGTGTGGTGCATTGGCAAAAAAGAAAGTCAGCTAACCTGTGATGCCAGCTGCCATGAGTGATTCTCTTGAGAGCATCTTTGGTGGATGAAACAGTGCTGAAGTAACGTGCCAGATCAAGTTGGCCTGTAGAAAAGCCTGAAACTCAGAAGTGAATTGGAGTCCGTTGTTGGAGACAAGGATGTCTGGAAGCCCATTGGAGGCGAAGATTCCTCTCAGCACCCGTATGGTCCTAGCAGTAGTAGTGGAGGAGACAGGAACGACCTCTAGCCACTTGGAATGGCTGTCCACGAGGAAAAGGAAGAATTACCCCTGAAAGGGCCCAGTGTAGTCGATATGAACCCTCAACCAAGGGGCATGTGTCTCCTCCCACCTATGTACAGAAGCCTGAGGCATTTCAGGCCTTGACTGTTGGGACACTTGGCACCCATGAACCTGGGTCTCGATTTCTTTATTGAGCCCAGGCCACCAGAGATGGCTGCATGCAAGCACTTTCATCTGGACTATTCCTGGATGTCCCTCATGCAGAGAGAGCAAGACTCTAGTCCTCGATGAGGCTGGGATCACTACCCTGCTACCCCATAGCAGACAACTCTTGAAAGTGAAAAGCTCGTGCTTCCTTTGCCAGAAGCTCTGGAATTCTGCACCAAGACACATGTCAGGCCATCATGACAACATCCATGTCAGCACGCGTGTGAGCGTGTGATCAGTGGCAGTTTCTGCAGCCACATCCCTAGCATTGAGGGGAGATTCAGGCAATTCCTGATTGGAGAGAATGTGAAGAGCCTTTATCTGCTGTAGAGGTAATCTGCTGAGGCCATCTGCATGGCCCATTTCTTTGCCAGGTTTGTGCACCAAAGTGTAGTCATATGCTGATAGAAAAATTGATCATCTCAGCATTCTAGGAGAGATTATGTGTGGGGTTTGTTTGTTTGTTGTAAACAAACCCAGCAGAGGCTTATGGTCTGTGTGGACTGTAAAATGGCAGCCATATAAGAAATCATGAAATTTCTTTATGCCAGCCACAATGGCCAAGGCTTCTCTGTCAATCTGAGCATAATTACGCTCTGCAGATGACAGGGTCCTTGAATAGTAGGCCACAGGAACTTGTGTCCCATCAGCCTTCAGACGACTAAGCACAGCCCCAACCCCATAAGGGGATGCATCACATGTGATGCACAAAGCAATTGCTCATTGAAATGCACTAAAACTGCATTTGAAGAGAGCAAGGCCTTGACCTCTGTAAAGCTCCTTTCATGGACCTTAGTCCACTGCTATGGAGCCTGTTTGTCCAAGAGCCGGTGTAATGGCTCAGCCACTGCAGGCTTGTGGGGAAAGAATGCATGATAAAAGTTTAAGAGTCCCAGAAAAGCCTGAAGTTCGTTTTTGGACTTGGGACTTGGGACTACTGAATTGCTTGAAGCTTAGATTCAGCAGGATGAATGCCTTCAGCATCAATACGAAACCCCAGAAATTCAGTGGAGGTGACTCCAATCTTACATTTATCTTGCTTCAGCTTCAGCCCTGCTTGGCGGAAACGCAGCAAGACAGCTCTCAGCCTTTCAGCTAAATTTACAGATGACTCCCCAGCAATGAGGACATCATTGAAGTAGAGGCAGATCCCAGGAATACCACGGACCGTTCACTCCATTACACTTTGGAAGATGCCAGGAGCCACATTAACTCCAAACTGCAGTCTTTTCACTTTAAAGGCTCCCCGGTGTGTCACAATTGTCTGAGCCTCAGCTGTTGCCTCATCAACAGATGTTGGTAGGCCTGTGCCAAATCAAGCTTTGCAAAGAGGCGCCCCCCCTTGAGGGAGGCCAGAATGTGGCTAACCACAGGCACTGGATATGCATGCTGTTGCAGCGCTTTGTTAAGTGTACATTTATAGTCCGCACAGATTCGGGTTTCTCCATTGGTCTTCAGTGGCATTATTATGGGGGTTTCCCAAGGACTAGAGTCCACAGGTTCTAAGATGCCCTGCTGGAGCAGCTTGTCCAGCTCTGCATCAGTTTTGCTTTTGGGGGCAAAAGATACCCTTCTAGGTACTGGAGGTGCTGGGACTCTCTGCAGCCTTCCTGAGCCTGCTGAGCAATTCAGCAGCCCCAGGATATAACAGTTCCCTTTTTGATAATCTATGTATTTCTTTATTTGGCCAATTAGTGGAACTAGAACAGGAAGAAGGAGGACTTTCTGAACCATATAAATGAGCATGTCTACCTTCATTCTGTGGTGTGGAGCTCTCCCTGGATTTCTGAACATCCATATCAAGAGAGGTAAGTTATATACAATCCAACAATGAATTAGGTGAGCATTTTCTAAGACATTTGTTTTGCATTGACAGAATCAGCTTAATCCAATTGGATCGGTTTTATATCAAGAAACAGGTCTATCTTAAATATGCTATGACATCTGTGAGGACCTGATGTTGTTGTTCAAACATTTAATGTATGCCTGGCATAATTTTTCATATATTTGTAACACAAATTGGTTCTTCTTTTCAGATATATTTTTGTCTTGAATTCCTAAAAGACTATATAATTGTGAACTTTATTCTATTTCCAGGTTTGGGGTTTTTTCCCATTAAGAAAGCGCAAATGCCAAGAAAAATTTGCTTTTCTTTCTTTATTCTTTGACCTTGCTGGATTAAATCAAAAGAATATAAATTCAGTATTTTTGTGCTAGTAATTTTCCTGGATATAAAAATTGGTTTGCGGTGGGTGCTTATGCAGTCATCCTATGTTCTTCTTCTTGTTCATCTTCTTCTCCTTGGTGAATTAGGAAGTCCAGTGTTTAACTCCGATCTCTGCACTGATGGGCATGTCTTTCTTAGTTCCTCCATCAGCCATACAGAGAATAATGTAACTGAGTTTTTTTTATAGAAATCTTACAAGGGTTACAGTTAGGAAAGTGTGAAGCATTGCAAAATTAATATTTCATTAACACAGCTGAGCTTGAATCAAAACTTACTTGGCAAATTCTTATCTGCAATTACTATGTTTAGTTTTTAAATCACAGACGATACACCACAATGTTTTTATGCCCTCCCTCAGCTCTTCCCTCCCTCCTTCTCTTTTCTTTCATTGCAATCACACTATGTACCACACCTTCCATATTACCCCAAAGACTATTTAGATGCACATTTTCATATGGTTTCCTTTGTATATTTAGAGGACACATACAGGAATCTTTTAACTCTAAGGTGCTTAAGGTGTTGTTGAGAGTAAACACTTGGGCATTAGACTACTTCTCTCCCCCTGG